CCTCTCAGTGTCTGGTGGACCAGCCCCGTGCCCAGGGCTCTTCCTGGGGGCCAAGTCCCGCCAGCACCCCTACATGAGACCGACAGACAGGCCGGCCTCTCCCTATGTCCCCTCCCACCCCCGAAGTCCCTCTGGGCTGCAGGCGGCATGCTCACCTCTCACAGAAGCTCAGTGGGTCACGCGGCTGGCCCAGAGCCACCAGCCCTCAGTCCCCACAACCTAAGGCTCGCCCAGCGCCTCGTCCCCTGCATCCAGGCACAGAGAGGAAGGAGGTGGCAGAGCAGAAGCGGAGTCACACTGGAACGCAGAACAGGACAGGGCCAGGGCTGCCCCTCCCGGTGTGGGGGTCCAGGCGGGGCTGCACCACCGGGGGCCCTCCCTCTCACCTGCACCCGGGGTGACCAGAGGCACGCGGCCGGAGGGCAGGAGTGCACGCGGCCCTGCGTCCCCTCGAGCCGTGGGCTCGAATCCCCACCAGATATGCCTTGTAGGGGGAGGGGGGCCACGGTCGAATCTGGGAGGGAGGGAAGTTTTATTTTAGATGAGACTAGACTCCTAAATGCCCCCGACAAGCCTGTCCAACACCCCAAAGTGCCCCAAAGCCCATAGGATCTGCCGCGTTGTCCCCAAGGAGCTGGGAGGGGGATTCAGCACGGGCAGTGACAGGGAGAGGGGCAGGCCAGCTCACACACCAGGAGTAATTAGCCTGAAGGTCCCCAAGAGGTGCGTCTGAGCTGAGTCAGGGGGCAGAGGAGGGGCTAACCAGCAGAAGATGGGGGAGGGCAAGATGGCAGCCCGATCACTAGATCGCTCATTCATTCATTCATTCATTCATTCGCTCATCAAAGATGTCTGGAGTGTGGGCTCTGGGCCAGCAGGTCGCAGCTGCAGGGACACGGTGAGGACCACGGCCGGCCTGCAAGGGCCTGTTCTCAGGGGGCTGCAGTCCAGAGATGGGGCGCCATCAGAAAAAAGAAGGCTGAGGGATGCGTGCTCCCAAGACGATGCACTGCCATCCCAGGTGACGGTGACGCCGGCAGGCATGTCCCTCTCCTCGGCTCCAGCAGGGTGACCCGCCCCCCGCGCCCCACCGGGATCCATCCCCAGCGCAGACAATAAAGTCGCAGCAGCTGGAAATGCACGTTTTAGCTCCACGTCGGTGGCGTCATGATGGTGGCTCTGTTCAAAAACCATTCTCAAAAATAAAAAGCTTCCGAAGACACGAAGAGAAATGAGGTCCCAGGCTCTGTTCCCGTCCCTCGCCGCGCCCCAGGCTCGCTGCTCGGCACCGTGCCGTGGGAATCTCCGGTGTTTACGTCGATACCGTCTTCTCCTTCGGTGCCTTCATGAAATTGCTGGCCGATCATGCAGCTTTATGTCAACTCGAATTTCCTGAGGCCCACAGGAGCCCTTTCTCTGCATTTTTATTTGAGGAAAGACGCTCTTGATAGGCGCCGATGTACGTCATGAGCTCAGGGCGATTTCTGCTGCAGATATTCACAACTTTTTGTTTGCTTGTTGTTTTGTTGTTTCGCTTAAATGCGTAAATGTTTCCGCCCAAATATTCTCCCGCGTGCCATAGTCAGGTCTCTGCTCAGAGCATCTTTCTTCGGCGAACACATTAATAAGGCGAAATTCGCAAAGGTCGTCCCACGTGGAATTCTTGTCAATGGCCGTCTCCATTTCGTTCCATTTAGTTTCGGAATATAGATTTATCCAATTAAACCTAAAAGCGTCATCGAAACATTTCTTCCCACGAAAGCGATTTTCCAAAGCACAATCACCCAATTCTGAAACGAGGTTGGCACGGGGTCTGAGACCCCGGGGTTAAATCCGTCTGCGTGCTCGGCGCACTCGGCTTCACAGACCTTGTTTTCAGTCTTAGAATTCTTAAAAGCTTCGAGAGCTCAAGTGCTTGGGCGCTCCGTTTGTCAAATGGTTTGACTAAAACTCACCAAATGAGGTTAAATAAAACAGAACAGAAGTTAGAGATTCGTGTTCAAAAAAACGTCCATCATCATCGTAGGCGAATCTGCACTGGCCCGAACGTCTCCGGGTTCGAGAGAGTCGGCAGGGAGCGCGCCCGCCGCCACGCTGGAGGATTTTTTTTTTTTTAATCACTCATCACCTTTGAATCGAATTCGTACTTCAGTTATTCTGCTTGTAAATAAAAATACTTCTACATTTCAATAACTACGCCTTCTGTACCTGTAGACCACATATCAAGCTGGCTTAAGTGCGCTTAGGAACTTTGCGTGGACCACAGCCAGGTCCCAGTGATAATTAACAGTCTCTTAATTTAATCCAAATATTGTTGTTGTTATCACAGGGCTGTGATGCTTCCAGATCGGTCTTCCTGTGAGCACTATCGAAACAAACAAAATTTCTACAGTGAAGGTGACTTTTTATTTGTTTATTTTTTACTGAATTTATGGCGGCATCGACGGTACGTCAGATGTTTCAGATGAACTGCCGGACGCTTTACCGATAAACAGCGACGGGACGGGGCAGAAAAATCAAAGCGTTTTCGGAACGAATGGAACTGGTTTCCTACCTGAAACCTCCGCTGACACGAACCCCCCCGGGCGTGGCCCGATGGCTCCCACACGTCCCACACCACGTGCCCAAGGAGATGAATGAAAAGCGAGCAGAGTTCATTTCAAAGGACAGAGGTTTACTCGGACGAAAGGAGGGACCCCCCGCCCCCCCGCCCCGCCGCCGGCCCGGGGCCTCCGTCCCATCCCGGCCTCTCGTGGAACGGCCGGTGCCGCCCGGCAGTCCGGCCCGGTTCTCAGGCCCTCGGTTCTGTCACTGCTGCCGTGATGGCTGCCGGCGTCAACGCCCGTTTCATACAAGTGAGAGGTTCATCATCGACGCTTCTGAGAAAAGGAAATAGACGTTCGCTATTTCTATTACGAATGGCTCTTGTCTCGTCCGCTACTGCTGCCAAAGGGGTCCGCTGTAAAATTCGAAAGCATTACCAGGCAGTAAAACACAGCTGTGGTTCGCGCCATTCAGAAAGCGACAGAGCCGTGAGGCCTCGTCAGCGCCGCCGCGCGGCGGGACGGCCCGGCCTCCTCGCTCCCTCCCGCGCAGCCCGTGTCCCTTTCCTAACGCGTCGTCCCCGCTGACCCACCGCTGGCTGCCTGGGGACTCACGCAGCTCAAGGCCACAGCACCCACTGCGCTTCGGCCCCCTCACTTAGGGGCGGCCATGAAAGACGGGGCTTCAAGCAGGACACTTGTCATCACTCCGTGTGCAGCGGGAGGTGGCAGATTCGGGCTGGGGTCCTCTCACCAAGGCCGCTCCAGCTCCCGCCGGCATCGCGCGTGCAGCTGGCGGTGGCAGAGACCGACTCCGAGCCCCAGACAGGGCGCCGTCCCTCCGTCCGGCCAGCCAGCATCCTCATGACAAAGCGAGTGTGTCAGAACCCACGGGACCTCCTGTCCTGGACGCAGCGTGCCTTCCCTCCGTGTCCCTGTCATGGGCTTGCCGTCCCTGCCCACGCGGCCCCTGCCGGCTATCCTCGCCAAGGGCTCACAGTATCTCGCTGACTCCCAGAGGGCCCGGCGTGGTGCAGCCTCAGGCCGAGGGACTCGTCATGGTGCAGGAGTGTCAACCAGGATGGCGACCCCAGGACGCACTGGGCCTGTCTTGCGTCTCGTGGCCAGAATCTGCCAGCGCCAGCCTGACAGAATATGAAAAGTCTCCTTAATGGCTCAGCTAGAAGGTTCAGCTCGAGGGTGACCTCCGTGGACGCTGTTCTTCAAGATACGGTGGGCCCGACCTGAGTGTCCAGCAACAGAGGACGCATTAACGAAACGCGGCACGTCCCCGCAGTGGGACGTTGGGCACCCACGAAGAGGAAAGGGCCTCGGCACGTGACACGGCACCGACCCTTGGGGTCACGCCGAGTGAAAGACGCCACCGCCAAAGGCCACTCACGGGTGACTCCGCGTAACAGAGGCGCAGTCCTGGGCCCCGCTCGGGGCTCCCCCGGGGATGACAGCCCCGGGGCGATCACAGCAGCCGCAGCCTGGCCGGGGTGCAGAGCCCCGAAGCCACGGTCCCGCCGTCATGTGACCAGAGGGACGGTGTGACCGGCTGCCGCGCACGCCCCTCGCCCTCCTGCTCTGGGGGAGATGCTGAGAACCCCCAAGGACGAAGCGAGAGCAGGACAGAGAGGCCCTGACGAGGGGCCTCGGGGTTCGGATGCGGCGAGGGGTGGGCTGTCACACTGCGTGGCACCTGCCCACGTGTCCTCGCCCCGCGGCCACCCGCAGACGCTCCCCATGCTGACCCAGCTCCTTTCCCGGTTGGGGACTGTTCTGTCCATGAGTGTACGGTGCTAATGGGTCCCAGAACAACCCTCAAACAGCAGGGCATGCGAGTGGCTGACTCGTGCCCCCATGTCATTCCCCGCCCTCAGTGGGACGGCTCAGAGGGTCCCCAGCGGGCTGAGTCCCGGGCGCTTTGCCGCAGCCCACTCGTCTGGGAGTGTCTGTCGGCTTCCCTCCACCCCCGCCGCCCCGTCCTACGTCCCCTGCTGCCTCGAAGTGACTCCTAGAATCACCTCCAAAGTAAGTCACCGGTCCACTTCAAGGGGAAGCCAAGCCGAGACTCACAGAGGACCCCGCGGGCCGTGTCTGGGAAGGCGAGGCCGCGGGCACCTGCTGCTCTGATGGCGGCATTGACCGCACGATGAAGGGCGCCAGGTTGCAGACTGTGGCGTCAGCCAGACCCGGCCCAGCTTGTGTTAACGCAGCTGTTAGCCGTTAATTTTATCTTATTAGGAAGTATAAAAATCCAGAACAATGCAAAGACGCCGGGAAAAAAGTCTTCAAACTGGACTTTCCCAGGCAAAGCCACCATCGGACACGGACCCATTCCTCTCGAAACAGCTGAGACAGTCCCCGGCGGTGTCCGCCCCGCCCACCCAGGCCCCGCCTGCAACGCCCTCGCCCCCAGGGGACGGCAGACACCTTGCACCTGGTGGTCCGCGTGTGCACATCCTCCACACCTGGCTTCCCCCTGCCATCAGGGGAGCCGAAGCCGCTGCCACCAGGCTACGTCCCCGCCCCACGCTCTACTCCAGCCGAAATCCTCCCTTTGGTCCCGAGGGCCGCAACGCAGTGGAGGCACCAGGGCTTCTGGGACGGGGTGAAAAAAAAAAAGGAAATCCTGCCTCACCAGTCAGTAAATAATAACTGTCCCGCCTCCCCGCACGCAGCAGGGCCTCAGGGAGTAAAGGACAATC